CAGCCTATGCTCCCAGATCAACACCAGCCATTTCGAGGCCTTCCTCTCTAAATGTTTTAGTACTTCTGTTTGTATTGCTCCAGGATGTCCATGCACCCGTCACTAACCAGAACCCCCACGTAATTACTGGCTTTAGTCAGAGGAGGGACTGCTTTGGCTCCACAGAGGCAGATTACGATTTTCCCAATCTGCAATGGCAGTAGCTGCTTTCGCCTGAATCTGTAAAAACACAGATTCAAATCAAGGAAGAGATAAAAACAAAGTAAAACTTCTTCCCAGAAGTAAAATTCACTAGTTTTTAAGAACATGTTTATCTCCATTAACAACTTGCACTTGCTTAATTCAGCCTTTTCATCTGACCACCTCTGTCAGTCACCCAGATGAAGCCTCTATTTACCACTGAAGAATCTCTCTGCTTCACTCACATCCTAGGGTTTATATATCTAGGAATTAATGATAGAAACATCATTAAAAGAATTTATTAAAAATCAACATATTTATACATTTGTACATTCCACATACTGCTGTATATGTTCACCAACATAACCATTAAGTCAGAAAGCATTTATAGTACAGATTTCCATCTGAACAAATTTACTGCAGGGGAACTTCAGTTTTGTAATCAATCAGACCTTACGGAATGCCAGTAACTTCCTTTCCCTTTAAAAGTAGCAGCACAATTAATTATCAGTGTTCACAAGGCATAAGCCCCAAAATGTTGCACAGAGAGAGAAAAATTAACTAGTAAATATAAGCAATAGGAGTAGAGCTCACAATGAAAACGTAGTAGTTGCTGCCTATTATAAACAGCAGGATGTTAATAAAACACTTAGAGTTACGCTGAATAGAGACTGCAGCAAATTGGGAAGAGCAGTAAAATAAAAAGTTGCTTCTTGATACAACTGTATAAAATATTTTTTAAAGTCATTCAGGATAGGAGTCCTGCAAAGAACAGACATTATAAAGATTTAGCAGAGTGAGGATAATGCTTGTGTGTTCAAACATGCAACAAAGGTCCCAGAAAAAGATGCACACTTCATCGCTACCACCACCCTTCCACAGTTGACATCATTAGGGTTTCATGTGGTTAATGTAATAAAGTGACATTTCATTGAACAAAGAGATGTGCTCAGTAGTCCACTCAGAACTCTCAAGATTTACACCCATGTGTCAATTAAGTGCTAGAAGAATGACATTAATCAGGTAACAAAGGTTGGAAATATTTTGGAGACTGGGAGCAGAGGGGGAGCAAAGAGAAGTTCTCATTGTAACCCGGACTCCTGTGCACACCCGAGGCACCACAGCATGGGCTGCCTGAGGAAGTCAGTTCACAGGTACCTGTCATGCACTCTGTGTAACAAAAGCCAATTGCTTATTTTCTCCAGGCTTTGAGATCACTGTTTTTTGTAATATTACCAATATGATAACTTATCCCTTTAAATCACAGAAATGAAGATCTAACCGAAATTCTTTCTCATAAATATGCTTGAAATAAGATAAATGGCTGCAGAGTGCCAGATTCCGGGCAATTTTTTCTCAGTATTTTTCCTCTCTTTTTGACTTAGAGGGGGGAAAAACTGCATATGATGACATATACATATCATGGGTAATTTTTAAGTGAGGAAGCATGGAGATATGAAAGAGTAGAAAGGGGTTTAATGAATGCTTTTTTATGTATCAGCGACTGTAACAGAGGATGCCTAAAAAAGTCAGTTGCAATATTTCTGCAATTAGAAGTTACATGTTAAGCAAATGTGCCTCAATATCGGCAAAAGCATCTATGTGAGAGACTGATCTAATTTCTTATGTCCTGAATGACAAACAGGCTGACACATTTAAAAAAAAAAAAACCTGCACCACTGTTTTGGTTTTCACATGTACAAAGTTGGAGGAGACTCAGTAGGGGGAAAAAAAGTGAGAGATCAATTATAAACAAATAATTTAGCAAGAGATTAAGTAGAAATATTCTGTCAGAATCTCCTCTCTCCAAGGGCAGGTCTAAGAGACCACATTCCCTAACTGAAGAGAAAAAGATTCCATCAAGCTGAAACTCCCAGGACCCATTTAATTTCCAGACTAGAAGGCCATTCAAAGAAATATTCCTCTTTCCTCCTTCATGTATGCAGTCAGCAATCAGTAGCCAGATTACTGTTCATTCCCTCCTTGCTGCTGCAGCCATACCAGACGAACTTACCACAGAAGCAATGCTGTCCCAGAACTTCAGGAACACAAAACAAGAAGCAGCAAACTGACAGAGTCAGAAATAAAAAGAGGAATGAACTCAGGTTCTCCAGCATGAAGTTCTTACTGAAGGGGTATATTCCTACCTAAGGGAATTTCAGCGCAGATACCTTTCACAGATTTCCTGGTGATAAAGTACAGAATACCACACACCACTCTGACACATGCTGTCATCTCCTCTGGTCAAGTACTATCCCAATTGCTCAAGTGCTGTACACAGACTGGAAGAGCATCCTCTGACTGCCACCTCCTTGCTGAGCTCTCTCTCTCTACCTCAGCCTCACTTTTTTTTTGTTGTTGTTTTTTTCCTTTTCTTTTTGTTACCATTGAACTTCCATATTAATTCATGCAAATGAGTTCTAGTATAAAATTCCACAAAGAAACAGGTAACAATGTATGAAACAAATGTCAATATTTTTGCAGTCTACATTTGGGGGAATCTAACTCTCATCACCCCAGAACTTAATCACCCTTTTGGTCATCTATGATTGCAAATACAGTACCTTGCATGATTCCGATTTCTGTATTTGTTCAGTATGTACACTTATCGTTACTGTTGCATTTTAACCAAAGTACAAATCTGAAAAAATACCAAATATTAATAAAGAATTGTTTAATCTTTTACATCCATACCTTTTAATGCAATAACAATTAAGAACTTGATTGTGGTCTGGAATTATGTGATCTTTAGTCCATTGCAACACCAGTTTACAAGACCAAGTTCATCACTATCTAGTGACTAGAATTAGTCTTAATCACGAAGGGTGATGTTTGTTTTAGTACCTCCTTATTAGATAGGAACAAAGAGCACATTGAGGATGCTTGCAGCAAAGAAAGTATTTCTTATGAATTGCACATTACTGTATACAAAAGGCTTATGAGATATTTGTAATATCACTTCCTCTCTATCTGTGACTATTTTGAGGACAGGGAACTACAAATTTGTCTGTGTCATCATTGCCAGTTGTATACACAATCTTTGAAAATCATGAATACAAGACAAAAGAACCTGCTCACACCAGAGCAACACAATAGAATCACCCATGCCAGAATTAAGTCAGAAACGCTCACATTTGTCTTTTTTGAAGGTGTCTTTCACTAAACGTGACTTACATGTCTTAGTAGAAAGTGCTACAAAATTCCTTACTTGGATTTTATTTATTTCTTAAAATCCAACACAACAGCTATACATTTCTAATTTCAAACTCAGGAAAGAGAAAGATCTAAAGCTCTTTTGCTTCAAAGACAAAGACATGGATTTTTCCCCCCCCCCCCCGGATGTAGTCTGGTTGCCCCTTCCTGAAGGCAGCACCCTGCTACAAGGCTGTTTCATAAGCCAACCTTTCCGCACCAGCAACCTCCGCTGAGACTGCATCTAGAACATACCATGCAGATATCCTACTCTGCTGAAAGTCTCCACTCTGACTTGGAACACTGAAACAGTGAGCAGCCGTCCTAACTCAACTGCATGCTGGTCAGTAAACTTGGTATCTACTAGAGCATTACAGAATTAAAAGAAATGCTTTGACTTTGAAATACTTTTCTTTAAAGCTGTAATTTTTGAACCTCTGTTGTGGGAAGCTGCTTCGTTTAAACTGATTACTTTAAACTGGTTAAATAGCAATGTGAATACTTATCAGGGCAGTTAACTAAAGGGTTCTTCTTGTTATTTGAAAAAACTAAGTTTACAAAATGTTTTGTAGGATATAACAGATCCAGTACCCCCGTAGTGCACCTTTGTAGATTTCTTCCCAATTATACCTTCTTTCCATGATTTTGATTGCACAAAGTCATCCACAAGTACTAAAACCTATTCTTGTGGAGTTCCAATCTATGTTATAGCAAACATTTAGCATGGAACCTGTACACTTACATATGAGCTATATCTTTATCGTCCAAAGAAACTCTAGAATGATATTAGATCAATTTATTCAACTGTATGTACAGCATATTTGCATATTAATAAATAAATCAGTATTAAAGTTAAGGTCTCTTCCCCCATATAAAAGTGACTACAGTCTGACCAGCCAATACGACTTTTTTTTTTCTTCCAAGCACAGCTGTGTGACTGAGGCTATCAGTTTCCACTCAGTTTACTACAGTAACTGTAGGAGTAGAAAACTAATGGACCAGTGCTTACATTTAACTTCTGTACAGCAGAGGAGAGGGCAGAGGGGAAGTACTAAAAAGTGCATCGAAAGCCAACAATTTGTAGAGCAAAAACCAAGTTCATACTGTGATCCTGGGGAAGATAATCCAGCCCAAAAGAAGACATGCTGCAGCAAACATTATAACCAACACACAGTTTTGTCTTGATAGTAAGCTGCATGATGCCAGTCCTGTCATGTAATGTTCCAAGAATTCCAACTCCAACAGATGCCATCTCCACCTCTACAAATTTATCAACACCACATTCAGTGCAAAGTTACATTTCTTAAAATATCTGTTTGCCTTGTCTCCATAACATTCATGTCTGACCAGCCAATACGACTCACTTTCTTTAATTGTTTATTACTATATACAGAAGAGCCTATATTTGCACCTCTCCACTTCTGGTAGTGATTTTTTTTTTCTATCTACATTCATTAGAAATCAAAAAGATAAGTGGCGATATTTCATATTCACTAGAAGTCTTCCCATTAACCCAAAGACTAGCTGTTAATTTTGATTTATATCTAAAGCAGCTGCACTTTGTTCTTTTTTCCAGCCCACTTTCAATGGGGTATAAGTCCTGGGAACCTGTGGGACTGGAACATATTTCAAGTCTGATTGCTGGAGCTGGAAGAATGATGATTCACGTTTGAATTCAGATGTCTGTCTGCAGCACAGTGTGAGTGGACCATACCCCCATTTGGGTATCTTACAAATACAGGCTCGCAGAAAGGATTTTGGCACACCTGACAGACCTTTTTGTCCGAAAGAAGAATTGGAGTTCCTTTTTGTTTAACCTAAAGAGAGGGGAAAAAAACCAAACATGAATCTAGCAAGCAAGAAATGGAAATTAAGTCATTTAACTTCAGCTGTACCAAATGGACAAACCTGGTCAATAATAGAGGTAGTACGAAAAGACAGCTTGAACTATTTAACTTGAATTCAATTTCTACATTCATACTCATTCATCTTCATGCTTCCTCTTAAGTAATGCTCGTGGGTTTTTTTTTTTTTCTTCCTTTTTTCCCTTGGTTTATTTAATAAAGAAAAGCACTCACACATTTAATGCAACTGAAAACCTGATACAGCTTCCTAAACAGGGTCACAGGACAACTCCACAGAAAACAGCACTGATGCATTTTTATTCCAGACAGGTTCTGCTGGATATACCGTCATTAGAACTAAACAGATTTAGGAATCTACTGGGAGCTTCAAGCAACACAGCTCTAGCTAGGAAGAGAAGAAAGCTTCACAACTGAATTTACCACTAATAAAAGTTATTAAAAAGCTTCAATTAATACTAAGTTATAGGTAAACTTTTTTGCAAATTCTGACAGGTCTCACTCCTAGTGAAAAAACCTAACTCACATTTATTAAGGTTTCTGCAAGGACTTTGTTCATCTGTAAATCCCAGATTAACATTTATTCAGGTCAAAAGTTTGTAGAATCACAGTTCATGTAAGTTGTTCCTATTTCAAGGCCCCCACCTTCCTTTTGGTTTTACAGAGAAAGCATAAAACTAAGTTTGAGTCTAGTAATTGTAAAGCTTCAAAGTGCATCTGTTCAAAAAACCCAAAACAACTACCTACCTTTTCATGTTTGTAGATTAAGTTTTCAGCTTGTGCTAACCCAAGTGCAGCCTGAGTCATCCTTTTTGTATGAATGCTTTGCCTCACTGCTCCAGTCAGGAATGGGGAGAGAAGCTGCACTGACCAGCTGTCAGGCACCAGCTGCAAAACTAGAGCCGCATCAAATTCAGCAGCATGGTTATTCAAGAGGTCCACAGCAGCTGTAACTAGTGCACAATCCGAAGCGCCTGGACTCAGATACACTGACAGCAGCATATGGAAAAGCCTCTGTCTGTACTGCACGTCTCTGTTCTCAGAGTTCCATATGCAGTATTCTTCAGCAGCATGGAAGTCCTTTAACTCATGGACAAGGATATGCAAAGCCTTCTCATGTTCTTCTAGTTTTCCATATAAAATTGCACTTTCCATATGAAGGTCTGTACCCTGGATTTTGTCTGTTAAATGAGAAACAAACCAATATTTGCTCAGTGGAGAAGACAACTGCTCTCCCTCCCAAAATTAATGCAAACAAACCCAAAGAACTCAACTCCTGCTTCTTTTGCAAGGGTGCTGGCAGCTATCAAGAGGACACTGTTTATGGGTACAAGAATGCTAAGATATATGGAAACACATCTCTAACAAAAGAGCACCACAAAATACATGAAAAAGGGATCACTAAATAACAGGTGATAAAACCAGTGTCACTGACATCTTTTAAATTCTATCATGTCAGTCCTGTGCATTTCTGCGCACACTGCTACCATGTATGATAAACTGCAAGATGAAGCTGCAATATTTTTAACCTCTGCTTCTCCCAATATGACAGAAAATGGCAGAATAGTTTAAAGTCCATAAAAGACAAAGATCAAACAGTACTTCCCTTTAAGAAAAGGACACTACAAACCCTTAATCCAGTCTGACAATTTAAAGTGTCAGTGACAGGCAGGTGGAATGGCAAGTTCATTTGGCATTTCAAGATAAAGTAGAAAATCCTCTATTTACTGTAAAGGTGATAAAGATTTGGCATAGGCCTCTGTAAAAGGTATGGAAATACAATGTTTTTCTCCTCAAAATATTTTGATACTCAAGGAGGAACACACTAGCATGCATTGATCTTACCTTCATGTAAGATAACAACTGCCAAGTAAGAAATCGTGTGTTTTGGAGTACATGGATTTCAATAGAATAATCCATCTTGTAACTACTGCCATTAAAAATGTGGTTAAAAATTAAAAGATGCAAAAGAGTAAGAGTTTCAATTACTGTGTTACACTTGTACACGTTATCTGTCATACAATGTTTTGCTGACTGGAAAGGCAAGGGGACATTAAACACTGGTAAATTATTTTAGTTGCTACTCAGCTATCTTTATTTCCACATGAACTAGATTCTTCCCCTGAATTTCAGAAAAACATTTCACATCTTTCAATACAATAACAAGTCATCTCCCTTTTATCCACTGCAGGGTACATTACAAAAATAGCCATTATAAACATTGTCCAAGGAAAAAAATTAGCTCAACTATTGCTTCCCTTATACCAACAGTAAGACTTACGTTGCACTTTTCACTCAAAAAGATGTTCATATTTTCACTTAGTATGAACCCCAGCTTTCGGGGTGACAGTGGGTTATGAACAACAAACAAGTCCTTGGTACTCAGATTCCTCAAAGCTTTGCTTCAGTTCACTCAGAAACAAACTGCTTAACAAATAAACTTGTGACTCTCCCCCATTTGCAAAAAATAATCATGTTACATGCTCATCATTAAAAAGAAACTGACTGTCAAAATTAAGAAGATAAGTGTATGAAGATGTTTTTTCTAACTAGTTATGGTATTCTGTCTTTGGTGCAGTGGCAAACATACCATTGTATCTCACAACCTATAGGAGATCAAAGACAACACTAGCAGATATGCTTTCTAAATTATCTTGTGTCTGTTAGGCATAGAGATGGTAAGCCTATCAACCAAGTAGGCCCAGAAACCTCAGATCTTTCAGTTTTCTATACTTATGAGGACTTGTTTGTTTCCTGCTGGAACTGACACACAGCATTTATAATAGAAAACATGTATCTTACCCAAAATAAAGTGAATTCTATAAAGATCGGACTTCTGAAGAAGGCTGCGTAGTTTAAACAGCAGTTCAGTTGTTTCTGTACAATTGTCTGTGGTCACAGATTTTAGCTGAAGTATTGCCTCCAAGTACAAGACAGCTAGATGAGTATGGTACTTTTCTTTCTACAGATAAAAAGAACAATGTTAACTCAATTTACAAAGAGAACTCCTTCTCCCTGCCAACAACAGTGATTAATATTTACATAATTATGTAGAAATGTGTTTTAACCAATTTATTTAATTCAAATTAATCAGTCTTTTTTTTCATGCAAATAGACAAATTATTCAGACCTGCTTCACAAAAGACACTACACCTATGGCATGGGATTCTCTTTTATTAATACAGATATTTCCAAAATGTAGATATGAAACATCTTATTCCTAAACACCTCCTCAACTTACATAAATAAGCTCTATAAATAGCTTTCCTTGTGCAAAAATTATTTCCTTTCAAAAGTTCACCTAATGAAAGTCAATGCAGGAAAACAGATCTCTCTCCTTTGAGTACAAGTATGAACTCCACTGTCTTTTAATTTTGTTTCCCTTGTAAAAATGAGTAAATTTGATCTAATTCATTCCTCCTCATATTCAGGTATGTTCTTTGACATTTCTGTTTCAGCAATAAAATTTGAGAAGGCCACCAGAGGTAGACAAGCACGCTGAAGGAAGAATGTTTTTTGTTATCCACTACCAAATATTCATCAAAACAAGCTGATTATTTGACTGTTTGAAACATTCTCACTAAAGCATTCATAATAATTTAGTACTTTCTGAAGATCAAATCAATTTATAACCCAGCCTTTACCAGCAGGCAGAGCAGATATAATTATAAATTATTTTTGTTACAAATTTCCTACAAGGCACTATGTTTAACTCAAAAAGTTTGTCTGAAAATATTCATGACATCAGAAACTAGTACATTCATCTGTCACCATGTCACACACCTTGACATATTTGCAATAGCAACAGAGGGAAATCGATCCAGCACGTGTATTTCAAGAACGCAAATTAGTGAACTGGTCATCAGTTCTGCTGAGTTCTTTCAATGTTAATTTCCTTGCTTTATTGGCAGGTGGAAGTAACTTCCCCTGTGTTTAAAATGTCTCATATCCAAGTACCATAATGTTTGGCTGCTTCTGTATTGTGCTTAAAACCCCAAACGTAGAATACACTGTCACTTATGACTTGTGGACACATCTTTCGGACATCTGACATCTAGAGTGGTTTGAAACTCTATAGTGAGAGGCACCTGGCTCTTCTATAATTAATTGCTCAGATCTCTCCAGAAGGACAGGATAACTTGCAAAAAACAGAATTAGCAATTTTAGTCTATTGCTGACATGGTACAGTGGGGTTAGCAGTTGCTCAACAGTTTTTCTATGATCTTACCAGATGGAGGTTTGAGCCCCATCAGTGAAACAGAAAAGTATTCAATAATCAGATATAAAAAAATCCCAAACCTCTGAAGGGAGGTAAGCAACTGTCTTGCCATTGCGAGAGTTGAAAAGTTAAAAGTAGATATCTGCTCCTCATCTTCTACTTTAATCTTAAAACCACTCCTTCCCTACTCTGAGTATATCTGAAAGCCCTCAAATTATGCTTATTTCTTCTAGACTTCAGCTTTTTTCAAAGTTGTTCATCATGGTCTGCATTCTGAATCCTATGCCTTAGTATTCTTGTAGGACTCACCTCTATTTTTCTTTCCAATACTAGATGTTCTAGATATTTAACACGTGCTTTAGGATATTTATTAAGGCAACTGATGATATCATCTGGATTAATGTTTTTCTCCTGTTCTTCCAAAGGCCTTTTAGTGAAAATCTGTACGCCAACCTAGAAAGAATTAATTGCAATTGGGAACTCAGCAGCAACCATTTTATTACCTTTTTATTTTAAATACTCATTTAACAACACTATCAGATTAGTTAGCACATTATTCAGCACGATAAACAATGCAAAACCCTGCTCAACACCACTGAGATTACATTACTTTGTACCCATCGTGGATCTCACTCACTCCTATCTCCATTACCTCATTTTGTGGTCTACACATTGTCCAGCCTATAAGCCTTGTATTGGGCACAACCTCCACCAGCCACAAAAAGTATTAACAGATCTGCATTAACAGCAGAACAAGAGACTCCAGCCTTTGCAGCAAGAAAGCATAAGTTAGAGACCAGAACGTTTATAGCCTTAGCAAGTGTGATGATAGACACAGACCAACAGAATTCTATAATGACCAACCCAAAAGTTTAGAGATCTGTCATTGCATGTAATAACTGAACTTTAAATTAATACGAATTAGGCAGTAACAAGTTCCAACAGCACAGAGTGTCTGATACAGCATCAAGCATCCCATTTAACAGTGCACCACACTAATGGATGTTACAAGATGATTTTTTTTTTTACTTTTGGTGGATTAAGTTAATTCTTGTAGCAATCAGGTTTTGTTTTGAATGAAGGCTACTTATTCCACAGTCTAGTGCACACAGATATCACCCATCCCTGGAATCCTTTTAAAAAAGAAACAGCAGCAACAGTTACCCTGTTAGGTGATCTTTTTTTTTTAAATCTAAAAATTATCTTGCTTAATATGAAGAAAAACAGAAGACATGTTGTATCTTTCACTGTACAGAATAACCTAAACTTTGTTTTCAAAAGTAAAAGAGGCAATTATCATTAGGACTTGTTAACAGAGGGACTTAGGAGTATTGAGAAATATGGAAGTTTTCTTCTGTTGATCACTATTCACCTAGCATTAAATATTCTGCAAAAATGGTCTCGTTAGCTATAAAGACAGAACAATGTTAATGAACACCCAAACACCACTGCAAGGAAATACTTTATATTTATGATGTTCTGTGAAAAGTACACCAATCACAAACCTCTTCATTTTTTTGTAAAACCCATTGAGAGTATTTCCACACTAGATCTTGGTCTGAGCAGAACGTAAGGAAGTCTACTATATATTCATAGAGATCTGAACGTGTAGAATCCTGAATGTCTCCATCAACTATTTTCACCCATAACTGCAACAAAAACACACACAGATTAAAGCACTTAAAACATGTACTAGCTCTTTCAACTCAAAATTTGTGAGCTACTACAACACAGTATTATTTTCACAGTATTCTTTTAATGCATTCTGTGTGCACGATTAAAAACAAATAATATAAACAATTTAGAAGAAAAGAGGATTTTTTTTGCTTTTCTTTCATTTTGACTGAAGAACTTCAAGTACTGTGAGATGATTTTTATATATATTTTAATTGGAATTAAAAGGTGCCACATCTACCAGACCAATTAAGCAATAAACCTTGTTCCTTGAAACATCAAGAAAAATATCTTGCACAAGATCAAGGTACATACTGTTTTTGTTGTCCCTACTAATTTTCTGCTCAGGAAATTACCATTCACATAACTGATGTGAATGCATTTGACAGTGTCACTGTGGTTAACATACTCAAAAAGCCATACAGTAAGGCAAACTACTTAAGGTATGGGATATGGTCTAAGACATACATGCTATTTATTGATCAAGAACATATTAATTTTTCTAGATAAAGTTTTGCACACAGGAATAACAGAACTACTTAGTCTGCAGTCTACAGACCACTGCTAGTCTTAGTGACATAAGAAGGAAGGTCCTCAAAGGGATTATTAACCCAGCTGAAACCCATAGATCTTCTAGTATTTAAAGGGGGTCTACAGGAGAGAGGGGGAGGCACTCTTGATCAGGGAGTATAGCAACAGGATGAGGGGTAATGGTTTCAAGCTGAAAGAGGGTAGACTTAGATACTAGGAAGGCATTTTTTCCTGTGAGGGTGGTGAGGCACTGGAACAGGCTGCCCAGAGAAGTTGTGGATGCCCCATCCCTGGAGGCGTTCAAGGCCAGGTTGGATGAGGCTTTGAGCAACCTGGTCTAGTGGAGGGTGTCCCTGCCCATGGCAGGGGAGTTGGAACTAGATGATCTTTAAGGTCCCTTCCAACCCAAACCATTCTATGATTCTGTGATCTTGCAGAATGTGTTCACGGTGCACCATCAGATAAGGAAATAAACTCTCAGATGCTGTCAGTGTCTGACATGAATTCAATATTACTTTGCTGTGTATATACAGAATAATCATCACAGGATATGTTCCTGAAGTCCCTCAAACACCTTTTAAAGCAATCTCTTGATTATTTTAGTGCTTCTGTCCATCTTTTAAGAGTACAAACATGTGTTCTGGTATGCACAGTTTTGCTTAAAAAATAGCACACAAGCATCTAAATAGCTGTCATCTTCAGTAAGCTCTTCAGTTTTTTCACATCCAGCATATTATTTTATTCAAGGAAGTCTCAGCGTAAGTTTCTCATATACACACATCACTGCTTTTCAAACAGATAAATTAGCAGTTCAGATGTTTATGCCAGAGGTAAACTGGTATTTTGGAATGTTTACAGGTGACACTAAAAGCTTTATTCTAACCTGAAGTGCTGCAGCATCCTGACCGTTGTAGTGATACAGGAGACCAAGTGCAAAATACCTGCATAGAAAGAAAATATTAAAATCACTAGACCTTTCCTACCAATTTCATTATAGTTTGATTAGCACAGAATATAACAAATAATTGCTTACAGTGACATGTACACAGCCATGTCTACACTTGAACAAGTGTCTGATTCTGAAAAAGAGCCTACAAAGGAGAGAAGTGCTGTCCTAGAAATTTATCTGTGTCTCTCCTATCTCTAAGGCAGTTTCTAGTTCCCAGCTCCAACTTAAAGTATATGTCAAATTAGAGATGATTCCTGTGCTGTTCTTTGAATTTTATATACAGACTTAAGACACTGCTCCAAACAACAGATATTCCTCCAATAATTAAAAAGCTGATTTAATGATACCTGATTATGATGCTTTTACTTAAAACTGTTTTACTATCAGAAACATTTTTTTTCTTTATTGCAGCATGAAATCAAGTCAGGCAAGGAAGAGCTTTGTACAGGGCCATTACAGATGTTTTTTTGTGTACTGTAATAAAAATACACCTGAAGTTCTGTTAACAGCTGTTCTCATGGAACCACGTTCTACCATTCACATTTGCAAAAGTTTGCCATGCAAATCATACTTATCGAGAGGATTTAACATCTGAAATAAACAAAACTACCCTAAATCTAACTACAATTAAAGACTCCTCAACACTGCAGTTGCTACACAGTTTACAGAGATTAAAGAAATCAAAACCAAGACAGAGACACTACCTATGACTGCAGTTTGTCTTTTACACATTTATTATCTAGTGTTCCCTGCTTAACAACAGCCAGTTCTCCACCTGCTGGCATTTCCAATTTGAAGTCATTTGCAGTCAGCTTAAGCAACCTCCTTTTGGTGAATCAGTGGAAGCACAGAAAGTATGCAATTCAAAATCAAGATCTCTTTCCCGGAATAATCAATTACAATTTTAAAGTTACTAGCTGGTTAACAGCTTCTACTTAAGTTAGTGTATGCTTTAAGGCAGCTTTTCATTCTGTCCAAGTACCACTACTGTGTCCATTCAGCTCTCCCATTGTCACAAGGGCAAACAAACTACTTTTTTTCCCCCCAAACTTATACCAATCCTTTATTTTTGTGTTGGACACAAACTTTGAGGGAGAACTCTGTATCTACCAGGGTAAGACAGAATGCATTTCCTTTACCTCAGACTGTCATTTAATACCTTTTCAGCAACATTTTTAAATGTTGACACGTCAGGCTTTTGGAATTGAAAGCAGAGAAACCACAAGGATTTGAACACATTGCTCTAGAAGCCAATAACATTTAAGACAATTTTCCCTCTGGTCTCAAAGGTGCAATAGTCAAAAAATGCACTCACTTTTTGTGTTTTTCCAGCCAGGCAGCACTATCTGTTAAAAGACAAAAGTTCTCCGAAACTAGCAGATCCAGCAGGCTTTCATGATTTGCCTCTGCATACAGCTTGAGTAAAGCTGTGTCAATATCTTCCTTGTAGCCATTTGCAACCTCAGTACTGCGGACTTCATTCAAGTAACTCATGAGGAATCGTTTGCATTTTGTCATCTTCTCCTGGTCCCCTTGGGTCAGCTGGTTTAGGTCCGCATACTCATGCAGAGGGGGATGAGACCGTATAAATGAAGAGGAAGTAGGCAACAGGAAGGGGTAGAGAGAGATCAGCTCCCGGACATCAAGCTGGCCGCTTCTGCAATTACAGTGTCAAACTAGATGAAGCAAAAAGAAAGAAAAAGTATACATAGGCACAAAAAAATAGCATACTGGGAATGTGTGCTCACATGTGCTTAGAGTCAAGACACTAACAGGTTGTCAATTTCTGAAAGTTATTGCCTTTTATTCTGAAGAAAATATATTCAGAACAAATTTGGATTTTTTTTTTTTAATTTCTATCCAAACTTGTTTATCATTTTCTTCCTCTAGACATTGAAAGCTCTGAGAATTCAGAGACTGGCCAGCCTTTTGATTTTGACATTCCACAGCTGTCCTGCAGCATATATATATAAAAATCAGCTGAATAGTCTTAGTGCAGTTTCTAGGACTGTCCTAGACTTCATCCATATATTATGGGAGCTGGTCTTCTGATGGAGGCAAGGAAAAAAAAGAAGACAGAGTGAACCCTTTCAGGCAAGCCTATGCAAGTGTAATTCTGTAGAAAACAGCAACTTCCTGTGGAAAACCAAAGCTTTCAGAACATGTGTTTGGATGATAATGTTTTCTGCAACCCTGAAATGCACCAGAGTCTTCCTTTGGCACACTTAAGGAGGTACTGAAAATGAACCACAGATACTGAGATCTGTCTAACCAAGAAGTAGCACTTTATTGCACAGGCACAGGTCCTGGGTGTACATCTATATCAGATACTATGGAGTGCGGCCTTTCCATTTTGCACGTGAAGGACATCTATACTTTCTCCAGGAACAAGTTGTAACATAGCTATGCTATACAAAACATTTTTCTTTCAGCCTAGATTGAATAAATTCCTCAAGCATTTGAAGAATGCATGTTGTAACAGAAGAAAAAAAACCCAAAATTTTTCACACATAGCAAACAATTCCCCACTTTTCACAGCAAGAATGACTCCACCTCCCAGGCCTTGCTTTAGAAGAACAGCAAGAAATCAGGATTTATATTTTATTTCACTGTCAAAGCCATTATTCAGAATTCATCTTTAAAGATGAGCACTCCTGAAATGCAAGAAATACTGTTGCTGACAAAAATTAAAATGAACTGACAGTTCTCTAAAAGAAACCCTGGTTAGTTACTATCTTGTTACAAGTAAAACTTCAAAAAAATAGTTCTTATCTATCTGGTGATCAGCAACCTCAGAAAGGTTTTCCCTTCACAACCTTGAATTACAAAAAAAACCAAGTTACTACCATGGAAGTAGAGGAAGCAGCTGATTTCTTCAGCCCATAAAGTGAAAAAGATGCTCACAAGCAGGCTCATCTCTTCCCTGCCATTGTAAAGTACCCAAAGCAGTGGGGCATACCCTGATTTCTCACTTCTTGACAGAGACATAGTTCCAAAATAACCCAGGAAATAGGAGCTACTAGGAAGCATCACTGTGGCAACACATATTTAGATTTTTTTTTCAAGAGTAAATTCTGTCCTTTGGCTACAAAAATCTGTACCAGAAGAATTAAATTCTAGGGGACAACAGCAAGTATCCTGTTCTAAAACCTAGTGACTGCAAAGCATGGGAACAGCAACACGAACAACAGAGGACCAGAACAGAGAAAAATCTGAACACATGAAGCCTTCCTGTGAGAAGAGGTTTAAATAGCAAATTCTTCTGATTAATACACAGAGCTCCTACTGCACTAGAAAGGCCAGTCTCCAACCACGAGTAAAGTGTCAAAATCTTCTTTGCAGATTTCTGCAGTTGAAATTTCCTTTTAACCCCTCTTTTCAGACTTGATATTTGGTTTTGAAATCCTTAGATCTACATTATGATGGAATCCAGAAGTAGATGTGGACTTTTTTTTTTTAAGATGCAGATTAACCAAGAAGTAGCAAGTTCTGTCAGTGGCATGACCTGATGGTTCCAAGAGCATTTGGGCTTTCAGTACAAACTTGTTACAGTAATCTAACTGCAGCTTTGGCTAGTCCACCTATTCATGAAAGTTTAAGACCAGAGAACCACCAGATAAAATATATTACATGGGATATATTACACTAGAAAATTAACCCTAGTTAGAGAAAGAATAGATTGCTTTTTTCCCTCCAAGGTTCTTCTCTTATTTGTTTTAGAATAAAATCTAACCCATAACTTGAATAACATCAACAGGCTACTCAAAATCAGGGCAGAAACAAGGAGACTTGCTAAATCACAGAAATTCAAGTATAAGCATTGGCTCCCTTGCTGGCTATGTTGTCAAGTATTTGGAGATGTCCTAAGCTTGACATGGAGAATATGACCAAGAAGAGGGACAAAAGTTAAAAATGCTACATTTAACATGCCACTTTTAATAAGTTTTAAAACATTTTCCAACTTCTACAGTAGCTTCGCATCCTTTCACCTTGTTGTCCAACTTTTCCTAGATGAGGAAGTAGCCAGCTGCCTCACCTCTGGATTCTGCCCTTAATGACCATCTATTTCCAAAAGGAGAACCAAAACCAGCTTCCAACTCAGGCTAGCCCAAACCCTGGGCTGTGAATCACCAGGGCTCTCTCAGCAGGTCTGACTCAAGCTCTCGTTGCACAACTCTGCTCTCCCAGCAGCAATGGTAATCAGCAATCAAGCAGCCTCCTTAAAAGCACAGTATCATCCAGAATAAACTTCTTCAAAAAAACACCAAATACTAAACAATGACCCCACCTGCATGAATGATTAACATTCATCTCAAGGCTTATGGCTCCTGAGATTTGTGGATGTCTTGTGACTCTTTTCACCACATTTGGACAAAACAGAATCACAGAATCACAGAATGTTAGAGATTGGAAGGGACCTCGAAAGACCATCTAGTCCAATCCCCCTGCCGGAGCAGGAACACCTAGATCAGATCACACAGGAACGCATCCAGGCGGGCTTTGAATGTCTCCAGAGAAGGAGACTCCACAACCTCTCTGGGCAGCCTGTTCCAGTGCTCTGTCACCCTCACCGTAAAGAAGTTTTTTCTCATATTCAAGTGGAACCTCCTATGGTCCAGCTTGAGCCCATTGCCCCTTGTCCTATCACTGGATATCACAGAGAAGAGCCTGGCTCCATCCAGAATTTGTCAGGCCAAAGAAGCTCCCCTGTGACAGCTTGCTCAGTTTAAGGCTAATGGATGGAGCTGAAGAAAGTTGTCCCTTTGCTGAACTACATGAGTTTCAGTAAAGCTACCACTTCCTTCCTTTTTGTCAACCTTCTTCAGTATTGAGAAGTATCAGCATAACCAAAAGGAACTTGGCGGGAAAGTATTCCTCTTAAAAGTTTCAGTACTTAAGAACTATGAAGTTAAGTGTAAGATATAACCATATCTTGACAATGTTATCCAAGAAGGATTATTGATGAAAGAAAACAAGACCTTTGGTCAAGTACAACAGTTTCCCCTGCTAGTCTTTAAGCAACAGATATTTTCTGAGAAGACAATCTTACTTCATATTTGTCCAGAAGTAGGCCCACTTCACACCAAGTTCTTAGAGTACTGCTGCCACTCTGCTTCACTGCTAAAACTATATTTTCTCAGATAGGTACAAAGTTTCCCTTTGGCATTTTAAGACTGAAGTTATTTTTGATCAACACTATCTTGAAACACCCGCAGAGCAACACACGGGGATGGGAGGAAGTGCTTGCATAGACTGCCATTATCCTTCCCATTTTTCCTCTGAGCATCAGCAAGTCTAAAATGAACAAGATTGACTGAGTGTGTATGGGGACATAACCAGATATTACTCGAACTGGGTGTGTTCACCAGGGCTGAAAATCAGGGAACCTGAATTCCATAAGGATTTTTTCAGACTCACCAAAATACTCTGAATAGCTTATGTATGGCTGGACAGAAAAAAAGCACAAAAAACTTATTTTTGCTTTCTCCCCCAGCAGACTTCAGCAATTCGTGAACAGCTGTTCTGCTTCAGAGTTGCAGCTTTTAGAGGAAGGAAACACCCTGGGATGCCAACTCAGCTCCAAAATTCATGCCTTCACGGCACGTTTTCTTATGAACCATGTTTCTTTTGAAAGAGGAGCTCCCACAATCCTGTTTATTAAAGGTCATTTGTCAGATGGACTGCTAGTTGGATGGAGGCTGTGTAACTGATCTTGGCTCCTTCCACAAGGTGCTGGAGCTCCTTGCAGGATACATTTCTCCCTCTTCACTGCTTTTAAAAAATCCTCAGGCCACCACCAGCAAGGTGGGGCCCCTAGGTTAGGCTCCACAGGGAATTATTGCCAGGCAGGGAGGAACAAAGTGAGAAAAAAAAGTTGAAGCATCAGCCATAGCCAAGACAGTTGCAGAGCTATACAAATCTGTCCACCTAACCACACCTAGACAATGAAGACACTTTATAGTTGGTACAACCTTAACAAGCTATTCTACCAAAGCTGGCCACACTGAAAAAACACAAAAAAAGTAAATGGGAAAGCCACATGGAGGGGCTTTGTGGGAATGTTGTAAAGGATGCCTGATTACATACAGCCTGTACTTCAGATACAGCAGCGATTAAGTCTAGTGTTTGGAAGATTACAGGGAGGAGGAAGATTGCAAGTTGCTCACTAAGGCCAAAAATTACAAGGTGTGGCCAAAAAAAAAATTGCCACTAAATGCTGTTCAGGCCTTTCCTGTCATTCCCTAATCTTTACCCAGTGTCTAGTGTTCAAGCTCAGTGTCTCCCATTTCCTGGTGAGCAGGGGACAAAACGGCTACGTCCCTCATCAGCAGCAACATTCACCAAAGCTTTACTTTCCTTGATACATTTCCATAAACCCAAGGACAACTTTTTTCTTATAGTGTACACACTTAACAATATACAGCAAACTGTCTAACTGTAATCCCATTCCATAGACTCTACACTGATTTAAAGTGAATTTCAGCCTATAACAGGAGAGTTATTTTTTGTGGTCAGGATGGATGATACTAGCTCTGGACAGTGCTGCATCACACAAGGAGGCATGGCTAGCAGAAATGAAATTACCAGATAAAATAAAGATAACAAGCAGCATTTTTTTGAATGCATATGGAGTATGCACCCACCACACAAAGTCAATCTGTAAACAAGTGACTGCGGAAACAGCTAAATTGGGAAGGTTAGTACAGACTTCAGAACAAATAATCTGTCTTCTGGAAAAGGCCTAGCAGAACAAGTGTTAAAACAAATTCAGTACTGGCATCCTCAAAAAAACTAGTGCGATTGTGTGAATAATGTTTAAATTGTAACTAATATTTAAATTGTAACTTTTTGTTAAAAGGGTTTTTTTTCTTTAAAAAAAACAGACAACGTCCATGTTGTAAATCACAGAACAGGCTCAATAATAAAGCCTTGACCTTCATGGGCATAAAGAAAGAAAAACCTCCACACATACAAACTCGGATCACAGCCTTAATGCTACTGTACGTTATCATATAAAAAAAAATCAGTTCCATTAACTTTTCAGTTACAAAGTTGTTTCAATATTACTCTGGTTTAAGCCACAACAAAGCCATTTTATCACTGTGAACTCACATCTACATCAAAAAACATTCAAGCAACTAAGTTTTTAAAACCAAGAACACTAGCTCCTTATTTAAAGAAGAGAAAATAATAAATTTATTGTCACACAATTACCTGAAGAGTTCTTTTGCTTCAAGGAACTGAAGCTGTGCAAACTGTATAAAACCTGCTTGCTGCAGGATTCGTTTGTACATTACCTATGAAAGAGAAGGGGGGGGAATGGTTTATTATATTTGTAAAGAGTTATTTACATAGTGCTAGTCACTACTGCCATAACTACTTGCCAAAAACACTGAACACATGATCTTCAACCAGACCTGTCAGGTTACATGCAAAATAAAGCATCGATCCTCTGCATTTTAAATTGTATGTACCTGAATATACTTAATCTGCTACCCAGACTCAGCTGCTTACACAAAAGCATGTGAACACAACACTGTTCACGAGTACCTGCTAAAGGCAAAGTCAACAAACAGCAAGTTTAAGTTTCCTTGTTCAAATAGTTACTTATCTGACATCAGTCTGACTTTCCTCAAGTTTTTGCTCATGGTATTTGCAAACGTAAAAGCCAGTTGTCATCTTTGAAGTTCCCCATGATTCAGTATGCACGAAAAAAAGATTTAAACTCAGGGGTGGTCCCATTTGACCACACACAGCCAACTTTCTCTGCATCTCACCTTACTTCTGTAGCAACTTTGCTGTTTGATTTGCATAGTCTCATCCCCAGTTGATGACCATATTTCTGACTTTCTGCCAGCTTGGGTTTTTTTTGTGGGTTTTATTGTTTGTTTTTTAATAAAAATGCTTCCAAGGCAGTTCAACTTATTCAATATGCATTATATTATGCAATTTACATAAAAATATGGTTAAAAATAGAAGTACAAGTAAACCATACAAAAAGCTACACGTTATGAAGTTTCATTGTTAATGTCGTGCGTAAAGAGAAAAAAGTTTACAAGTTCACTAGAAAAATAATATAAAACTACTTTAAATGCTAGGTATTTATTTAATCTGAATAGTCAACTAGTTACCACAAGATTAAATGAAACCCTCATGCCCAGAATATTTCCAATAGCAAAAGAGAATTACCAAAAGCAAGGAACCTAAACTGTGCTGTGCAATGTGTCCACTGTTTGTGACAACACTGGTATTTTGCAAATACACTAGCTATATCCACACATCCTCAGCTCTTCCCTTCAGCTTTCTCATGAAGATACAGCTTTCTAATGTTTAACAGCATACACAAATGTTGTTATTAATAACACACTCCCATTTTCAGTGAAAATAGCCAGAAAAAACTGCAGTACATTAATAAAGTATTCCAGGCAGGAATTGCTAAGGCGTGTCAGGCCCCAAGCAGGGTAAACTAATATTCTAATTAGTGATTTCTCACGTTGATTAGAGATTGTGGATTTACCAAGAGAAAAGCTTGGTTTAAGTCCATTAAGACTGTGCATGCTTTACTAATGGATTATTCTAAGGAAATACTTGATCTTGATCATTAGCAAACCATTGAAACCTATTGATTTATAAGGTTGCGGGACTTTTCTTGCCTCCCCAGTGCGAGGGAGAAAAGGGGAAACAGAGGGAAATGCTGTCTGACACACCTTTTCAGACAAACATAACATAAACTAACAATACTTCGTGACACCTTTACATTAATTAATGTTACTATGCTTTACATCCAAGCATACTAATTCTAAATACAGTTAACTAAAGCTAAAAGGGAATTTAATTGCAGTAATAACGTAAAACTACCTCAGGTGATTAATTCACAAAATATCAAAAATATTTTGGATTCACGACTGTGTTACTACATCAATAAATGGTAATCTGTGAAGTGATGAATACCCATCTGGTCATGTTCTTAAGGATGCTGGCAAAGGATTTATCTGCAATTATCTGCATCTTGTGGCACCAGAAAAACAAAAATCTACCCTCAGATTTTGCAGGGAGACTTGAAGTACAAACATTTCTCACCCTACTAACTAGTATCAAAAGTAGGGTTTGGTTTGTTTTTTTTTTTTAAGCCTTTTTTCGATCTTTGCAATGGAGTGATCACTAATATTTACATATTTAGTGAATTACAATATTGGAATTAAGTTTGAATTGATCTAAAACACTGAAAATACTGATGTACATACTAAGTTCTACTATTGAAGCAATCTTTTCAACTAGAAGTCGAAAAGAGCTTGTTGACAGTCTAAGTACAGACCCAAGGAATCAGTTTTAAATTTGAACTGATTAAGTGGTATTCACTTTCATTTAAATGTTGACATATCTTCACTTGTCCCTTAAAGCCACACAACAAAAGAGCTGTAGAATGTCTACAGACAGATGCTTCCTCAACCTTTTAAAGATGCAGTGACTGGATAAGGAGTATCCAGGTTGATTTTTATCCGACAATATAAACACTAGACATTAAGATGGCCCACGGTAAAGATTATGGAAGCAACAGACCAGACTGCCTATGGAAGATTCAATATTCTCTCTTTCTCACAGGGTTTTAAAAAATGGCCTAGACCTATATGCCAACCACATACAGTTAACTTTTGTTTATGACAGAAAAAACATCTTGAGTTCTTTCAGACTCGTTTGCCAGAATACTGCAACAGGCTTCTTTTAAAAAGGTACTAAGTTACACCCAGTCAAAATTCAACACATTGTTTATTCCCTTGTCATTTTGGAAGAATCATCATAAGACTTGAGTACTTTAGGCAAATGCTGTATTGTTGACTGAATTCACATTAAAAAAACTAGCTACAAAATCATGAAATACGATTTGTATTAATTCATATCTGAAAAAAGTGCTAAAAAGCAGAAAGATGACTGCTGAAGCTGCAATAGCTATAGTGAAGCCTTAATTCTCTCAACTGCTAGAAAAAACCTTTCGAAACCAGTCAGAATTACGAACTAGATTGCCCAAAAGATTTTTTTTTCTAGAAAGTCACTTTAGCTTTTGGTCAGGTTTCGGTTATTTTTTTTTTTTTTTAAACTAAAATGAAGTGAGAATAAAAAAAAGAAAGAAAGAAGAGAGATACCTATGCAAGATGTGTGTCAATCTAACCAAGGTCTTCACTACCATCAACCATGATTTCTGCAAACTTCAGCTGTCCTGAAAAATTAATAAGTAGTATTCAGTCATTTCATGGTAGCATGGTAGAAAGGCCTTTGTATTCTTCTACCAAAAAATGATACTCAGCAAAGCCATCTCCTTGCAACACTTTCACTTAGCATTTTTTACCTAGCAGTATAATTCTTGATGCTCAAAGGCAAAGGAGTTTTCATCTAATATGGCAGAGATAAACTCGCAGTCTGTGGGGACCATGGGTTAAATAACAGGTTAGAGCTACTCATGCATGAGCTGCTTCTTCCCAATAAATTAAATTTTGTCTGTACAAGTAATTGAGAGTACAGTACTTTACTGTTTCAATCCCACTATCATTCTGCATTACCTGCATATATATATTTCTGCTCATATAAAGAGAAAGAGCATGCACCTGTGCATGCATGCAATAACACAGTATTGAACCACAGGAAAAACCCAGTGTCATCAAGAACTGTCCTACGATGCCACGACTCAGTTCAAGTCACATATAAGATGGCAACAGCCATTTCAAACTGCAGAAATTAAAGCAGCATGTGGAAAAGGGGACACTACACTACATGTACCAGACAATTACTATCACTCTTCTGTACAGATAGATTGCAGTGGCTGGATCAAGTGCCTTGATGCCAAACCTATGCATTCCTTCTCACTGCTCATCATATAAAATGGCAAAATAAGGCCTTGAAAGTGTTGGCTACTCAGGAATCAGTTAAGCTTGCAAAATAGACTTCCAAAGATACCTATTAGAAGATGTCTATTATATGAAGATATCTCTTAGACATGTTAGAAAGGAGCAACGATGTGATCAGTTAAGAGTATGCCAAAGGAATGTTGCAAAAGACATATATAAGGCATGTAATTTGCTTAAACTCCATCAGATTTATATTATGTGTGACTATAGTAAAAGAAAGTCTGATGTGCTTGTAACAAACCCGTAATGACAGCATTAAGTATCAGAGGCACATTAGAAAGCAAGCTCAACACGTTGCATTTCCAGCTACAGATAAGCTCTGAAAAATTGGACTAACGTCTCAACAACTAAGCCAAGTTGAGCTATTTTAATATGATTCAGTGGGAGACTCCATCAATTTAAGTTGGTTAATATCAGCTTGCAAATACAGCCCAGAACTGGAACAGGCTATTTTGCTTGCAAGTAATAAGTTCCCTGTTTTTCAGCTGTAGCATTGACTCAAAGTAACCGAACACCCTTAAAAGCACACTAAGTTAGAAATAATATTCTTGGGAACTGTAATTTCAGGAAGACCGACACTGTGCACATAAGATATATGTGAACAGAAAGTAACTTATCCTAAAGACAGAAAAATCCTAAATTCAAGAAAACTTGGGAAGAATGAGATTCTACATCATGTATTTGAGATAATGAATTGCAGTTCATCCTGTGGAGAAACACAGAAAGACATCACCTACACTAAATCTACATAAACTGGAAAGAAATAACTGGAGAATTAGAGGTCATCATGCATAGAAGACATTGATTAGATCATGCGTCCTATCCTCACAGCAAGATTCTAATTCGCTTCTTTAAACAGATTGCAAAGGGAGTGTCAGAAGTGAAGACGCAAAGCAAAACATGCTGGAAACTGAACTCTGTTTGCCTAAATACTTTTTAGCTTCAAGTGCTTCCCGACAGTTGTACCTTAGCAAAAGGAGTGAAGCACTTTTCTGGTCAGGCTTTTTTACTTCCAACAGCCTCCCAGCTGTTCATTCAGCAGAGGAATCAAGGATCAAAATGAAAGCCAATACAAATCTAATTTCATTTCAGTGACTGCTTTTCAAGGACCTTGACAAAAATTTGAATATCAAGGAATTAGAAACTTATTGAAATAATAAAAAAAAAAATCCTGACAGACCGAATCTTTAGATCTTCCTAAACAAAACAAAAGTAATGCAACAGCTACTATTTCAATGGCACCAAAACGCTCCGAAGTGTATTAAAACAAACAAACCAGATTTTCTGCAGGTTACAGATCAAATACTGCTTTTACAAAAGGAAAGCAACCAAGTCAAGTATTCGTTCACCTACTTGCTGAGTAAAGATTTCATGCTACTTTTTCCAAGTTTCAGTCTCTAACTGACAAATAGGAACAAATACAGTAGAATATGCATTGTAATATAAATGAGAAGTAGAAGCAAATTAGTACAAATCTCTAACCAACACTCTTAATCAAAGACGTACTAAGATACTTTGCCACACAAAAAACTTAAATATTCAATTACACACCAGCAGAAGGACAACTTGTATGAGTTTGGAAGTAGGAGCTTTTTGCTTTAGATTTCCCATCACTTAACTTCAAAATTGTACTACTGTGGAGTTTAGGATATGGTGAGAATATCTGATAAAAAAAGTAAAACCTAAAATTTCTGGTTTGAAATAAAGTATACTTTTTTAAACAGCAAAAGCAAATAATAACTGAACCTAGTACTAAAGAGGCATCACAATGGATTTTCTATCACTAGTTTTTTGGTTTTGTTTTCAACTTGATTTCAAGTTACACATTTGAAAAAAAAAAAAACCAAACACCACCACCAAAACCCCAGCAGAACAACAGCATTCAACCCTGTCAATCTCACAGCCTTTACAAGCACAAGCCAGTTCAGCAGCACATCTATTACCTCAGGATGAAACCACAAAAGGTATTAAACGTCTTTTCAATATAAATTCCTCCCTCCCCCCCCCGCCCCCAATCACTTGACCGTTAGTATACATGGCCCCACTGTGACATTTATATTTGCATGAAAATTAAAGGAAGGACAGACCTGAAATTTTTCTTTTGGAATATTCCTTCGAGCTCCTTTTGCTAGAACAAGGGCTTCTTCCACTCTGTGGCTAGCTAGAAGATCCTGAATCTGTTTTTCCAAAGGTAGCGGCACCAAGATATACACACCCTTATTAGTAGCAACAATCACCTTTCCTAAATAGAGCAAACAGACATTCAGTTTACATTCTCTACAGAAAAAAACCACATTTCAGAAATAAGTTTTAAGATTTACTACTTAAGATACAAAAACCTAAACAGTGTTCAAGTTCCAAAACTCATCTATGTTGTTACCATATTTACTAGATAGTATAGTCTACCTGTAAATTGCACCTCAGAAATACAGAGATAATAGTAAATTTATTTATTTACAGCAGATTTTGTTCCACTCTGAGTAAATGAGCTGGCTATAATCTCTCATAACAAACTAAGCTGTAAAGGTCAGCACTGTTGTCCGGATTCCAGAGAATAGGGACTTGTAACTGCCAGGTACTTCCACAGGCTTACATTCAAAAATTGTAGGCTGTACAAAGGTAGCAAATAACATACAGTTCATAGTGCTCGAGTTTGTAGCTCTCCTGGAAAAAATAGCAATGCAATGTATTCCATGCTTAAGATTTCTTAATAGAAGCACAGATCAAAACCATTTAAAAATTTTTTTTGTTTAACAATTCTTTGTTAAATACCTGCTTTTAAACTCTTACTCAAATATTTTAGAAAGGAATATAAAAGAACTGTTTTTAAGATGTTAGAACTTTGCCAGAATAGCCAATGGACAAATACCTGTAGCTCACAATTACTGCCTTGCAGCATTAAATTAACATTGTTACTTTGAATTAAGTTACAAGAAAAAGCTCTAACCATAACCTCCTACCTGACAATTAATTGACAATTAGAGCACATTTAATGGTCATACATTTTGTTAGAAGCGCATAATTTTGGATGACTGAAGTATTCCTACTATAGTCTGCAAGAATCTAACCAGGAAAGCATTTACAATAAACGTTTCAATAGTTAATCTGCTTGTAGATATTTTAAGAAACAAACTGAAATGACCATGCCCACAGCAGCAGTTGTTGCAGAATTACTGATGCAAAAGCACATCCTTTTTGATACCTTCAAAGTCCTGTAGAATGTGGCCTTCTTTAAAAGGCAGCGTTTGCTTTTGCTGCTGGTCCAGCATGCTATGCACTGTAATGAACTCATCATCAAGAGCAACCACGTAAGGAAAGCACAAAGCCGCTCCAATCACGTTCTCTGACCAGTGCACAGGGGCACGCTGTGAAATGCCATCTACAGTTGCAAACATACCTACAAAAAGGGAAAAACAAAGCCTGAGGTTCATGCCAGTTGAAGACTTGTTTTTCCTGAAGCGTGGGTACCAAGGTACAGAAATAAAAAGTCTCAGAAGAACAGATGCATTATCAGGTGGCATGATGACAGCAGATTACACCTCCCTGGACCTTACAGACCTGTTGGTTAGTTCAGTTCAATTTTTTTTTTTTTCCTTTCTCCTTCACCACAGAAGCAGAGAACACCAGAAACTGAAAAAAAAAGATGAATGCTGAAAGAAACTATCAAGAATGATTCAAATTTAGCAAGATTCTGAATTATTTAATAAGAATTATGCCATGCAGTTTGAATTCATTTTAAAACACTAATATGTAGTGAGATCCAGCATTCAAACAATACCTCCTTAGTAGGAGCCGCAGACCTGCACTGCCTGACCTATCTGGCAATACAGGCATATTTGTTCCTTGCAGTGTCAAACGTCTAAAGAGTATTTTAGTCAACAATCATTTACTTATACTTCTTCACTTTTGCAACAGCAAAATTTTCACAGAATGAGGGTCCATCTCCTTGGGATGAGTTGCCTCCTGTGAGGCATCTGTGTTTTCAATCACTTGAAAAAAAAGGAAGAGGCTGCATATGAGCACATTTTCCCAAAAACCAAGCAAAGAGTAAAGACATTTTTAATATCCCAATGATATTGCCTATGCTGTCTTCAAAATAACCATATCAACTCTTCAGTTAACTTGTGTTTTTATTTGTCATTATCTTTCCTCCTGTCTATTCCATCCAACTTGTTTCTCCTAGTGTCACAGAAGTTTGACTTGCTTTTGGACCACGCTATTTATCCTACTTGGTATTCCCCAATTCTCCCCAAGACACCAGTTGAAGAAAAGCTCCAGTCAAAGTTTTCAGACCTAGTTCAGTAACACTTTGCCAGCAGAGCTATACTGAAGCACTATGTAAACTTCTGTTCTAAATATGAATACATAGTCCTTAAAACCAGTATTCTCATGCCCTTAAGAAGACACACCCATGAAAACTGTTGTTTGCCAGCAATAAGCCACTTGATAGCTGGCAGAGTAAGTCTGAGCTCTAAAGGACAGCGGAGATTAAAAGATGATGTTATTCAATTTACACAACCTCTTCCAAACAGAAGATAACAAGTTAAGGTAACTGGGTAAAAGGACCATCTTGGGAGGGGGAGGAAAACAACAGAAGGAAACAGAAGGTTGTAGATTTTTACAGAACTACAGTGTAAAGACTAAGCTTCTGGATCCTTTATAGCAGCTTTGAAATTACCAGCCCTTTCCCTTGACTAAGGGTGCAACGCAAAATTATATTTTCACATCTGACTATTAGCCAGTAATGTTTTTTGCTTTTTCACTATAATGATAAGCTTTTCAATCAGATTGCCTTATAGAAAATACTTTTTTTTGGCCATAATATGTAATTCCTGACTTCCTTCGCAAATCTTGATATTGCTACAGACCAGAATTGGAATTTTAAGCCAGGCAGACTGGTCATTTTTAGTGACTTCCAGCTGTTACCTTGTGCTATAAACACATTTCAAAAGGTGGGAGAAAACAAGTTAAATACATACTAATCAGTAGTAAGCTCAGGGCTAATTATATTTGAAATATTAAATCTCAGAATTTTCTATTTCTCTGATATTCTCAATAAATATTACAAAAACCTGATTTTAAAGACTTTTTTTAATAATGGAGCTCTTTTCTAGGTAATTTTTAAAAATCCTTTATGGACATGAAAGGGTATGCAGAGTAATGCACAGTACTTTTCCAAGTCAATGTCTCTCCACATCCCTCTGCCCTCAATAGCTAGGGCTTCTGTGGTAGAATGATGCATTTTTTGTCTTCATCCAGTTGTGACCTGAGGATAACAATAAACATGACAACTACAATCAGAAACCATGGCCTTTTTATAGCACAGGAATTGTTTGATGAAACAGAGACTAAGCCAGCAATCAATTCCATACTAAAAATGCATATCCTATCCAAAGGTTACAGGAATTACCCAAAACACAGCTACACTGTTTTCAGCACCAAGAGATCTAGAAATGTATAGAATAATTTAGGTTGGAAGGGGTTTCTAAAGGACATCCAGACCAGACTCTCCCACACTCAAAGTGGGACCAACTTAAATGACATTACTCAGGACTTTGTGTAACAGACTGCAGATTTTATTTTTTGATTGTTTTAAAACAAAAAGCTTCTTAGTGAAAACACCTGTAAAAATTGAAAGAAAAGTCCTTTATTACTATTATTACTTGTTTTAAGAGGAATATGAAACCTTCCAGTTATCATAAAAGTTGACAGCACAAGGAACACTATGAGTGGCTGGAAACAAGAAGGGAACAGGCTGGTTACTGTTGACTACCCTGCTTTATGCAGTGTCATCAGCTATGAGAAAAGGCACTGCATATCCTTCTGTGAATCATTCTGCTTAGTACCCATGTGCTTGTTATAAGGCTCAGTTCTCCAACTCCATTTGTAGTCTACTCAATCACTATACAACTGTTCAAACCATACACCACTGAGAAGAGTTTATTCTGGAAAAGCAAAAGGAATAAACCAAAATTAGGCATTTAAAATTTGTATTTTTTTTTTTTAACTCATTAAAGTCGTGGAATAGCTGAAGCAGACCTCTGGAGACTGTCTAGTCCAACTTCGCTGCTCAAAGTAGGGTGAACTAGAACAGGTTGCTTAAGACCTCGCCCAGTCATATTTTGAGGATCTTTAAGAACAGACTCCACATCCTCTCCAAGGCCTGTTTCCTGGTTTGACCACCATCACAATGAGCAACTTGTTTTCTTATGTTTATGTAGAATTTCCTGTATTTCATTTTGTACTGACTGCCTCTCATCCTTTCACTGGATACAATACCACTGAGCAGTCTGTCTCTGTCTTCTTTATCTTCCCCATACACGTTTATAAGATCTCTGCAAGTGTTTTCTTCTTCAGAGTGAACAGTCCCAGCCTTCTCAGCCTCTCCACATATGAGGTACTCCAAACACTTAGTTGTCTTTCTGGTTCTTCAGTGGATTTACTCCAGTATGTCCACACCATTCTGGGGAGCCCAGAGCTGGACCCAGCACTCCAAACATGGTGTCACTAGGATTGTGGGGGAAAATTGCCTCTCTCAACCTGCTGGCAGCACCTTTCCCAATAGAATCATTTAGATCACTGTAAGATAATCAAGTCTAACCATTAACATAACACTACCAAGTCCACCACTAAATGCAGCCCAGTAGGCTGTTGGGCTTCTTTGCCACAAGGACACATTGTTGGCTCATGCTCACTTTGCCCACCAGAGCCCCCAGGTCCCTCTCCACAAAGCTGATTTCCAGCCAGTCAGCCCCCAGCCTGTACTGGTGCATGGGGCCGTCCCTCCTTAAGTGCAGGACTTGATATTTCCCTTTGCTGAACTTCATGAGGTTCCTGTCAGCTCATTTATCCAGCCTGTCAAGGTCCCATGGAATGGCAACACAATCCCCTGGCGTATCAGCTACTTCTCCCTCTTTTGTATCATCTGCAAACTTGCTAAAGGTGCACTGTGCCCCACCATCCATGCTGTTAACGAAGATGTTAGCATTGACCTCACTACCAGCCCCCTGGGGTGCACAACTAGTGACTGGCCTCCATCCGGACTTTGTGCTGCTAACTACAAACCTTTGAGCCAGGCTTTCAATCCATCTCACTGTTTCTCTAGTTCATTTTTCATCTGTTTGTCTACAAGGACATTATGGGAGACAGTGTCAAAAGCCTTGTTGAAGTTCACAGTATCACTGCTCTTCACTCATACACCAAACTAGGCATCTAATCATAGAAGACCATCAGGCTGGTCAAGCAATTTCCCATTTGTAAATCCATGCTGATTACTCCAAATCATACTCTGGTCCTTTGTATATTTGGAAATAGCTGCCAGTATTTTCTCCATCACCTTTCTGGGGATTAAGATAAGCCTGTAGTTCCCTGGATCCTTTCTCTTGCTCATCTGAGACAGCAGTGAAGACATTTGTTTTCTTCCAGTCCTGAGGAACGTCTCCTGATCACCATGACCTTTCAAAGATAATCAAGAGTGGCCTTGTAATGACTTGATCACCACCCTCAAGCACTCATGGGTGCATTCCCATCAGGTCCCATGAATTTGTCTGTCCAGTTTATTTAAATGTTCCATAACCCAATCCTTTCTCTACTGAGGCAAGGCTTTTGTTGCTCCAGATTTTCCCACTGGCCCTAGGAGCTGAGGATTCCTGAAGGACGGTCATACCAACAACTGAGATAAAGAAGGCACTAAGCACCTCAGCCCTTTTCGTGCCCCTTGACACCAGGTCCCCAGCCCCATTCAGCAGTGGTCATCCGTTAGCCTTCCTTTGCTCCTGATATGCTTGTAGAAGCTCTTTTTGTTGCCCTTCATGGTGCTCACCAGAGTCAATGCCAGCTGGACTTTGGCCTCCCTAAGCCCATCCCCACATGCTTGGACAGTGTCTCTATATTCCTCCTAGGTTACCTGGCCCTGCTTCTACCTTATTTGCTTCCTTTTTATTTTTGAGTTTAGACAAGAGCTGCTTGTTCATTAAGGCAGGCCTCCTGCCACCTTGGCTTGTTTTGCTGCTCATTGGGATGGACTACTCTTGAACTTGGAGGAGGCAGTCCTTCTCTCCAGGACCATATCCTGTGGGATTATTTTAAGCAAGATCCTGAACAAACCAAGGTCTGCTGTCCAGGCCTGTTGTCTTTTTGCCTTGTTCCCTTGTCTCAGGATCCCGAAGCCTAAGCAAGGCTGCTCCCCTGATGTTCACATCCCTAACCAGGTTCAACAGACTACATCCCCTCATCAGCTGCTCAGTCACCTCTGTCAAGAAGTTAACACCACTCCAGAAATCTTCTGGACTGCTTGAGCACTGCCATGCTGCCCCTTCTGCAGGTACCAGAGTGGTTCAAGTGTCCCCTAAGAATCAGGGCCTGCAAACATAGGTTTCTTCCTGTTATCTAAAGAAGGTGTTACCTATGTCTGCTTCCTGATAAGGTGGTCTGTAGCAGATCCTCACCACAATGTCACCCATGCTGGTCTGCCCTCTAACCCTAACCCATAAACTCTCAGCTGCCTCCTCCTTTGTCCCAAGGCACACCACCACACCATCCTGCTGCTTTAATGCAACGAGTAACCCCTACCTCAGCTGTTAACACACAGCTGTGCTGATTTCCCAGAAAAAGTGAGAAAGCTTTCATCATGTTTTGTACAGACTTCTTTGTGTGCATATGCCTGAAGCAGGGCCTCTCCAACCCTGTTTATTGATTATGAAGTCTCTCATCCACATCATCCTGCACTCTTTGTTTGCCAACTCAGCCTACAACCGCCATTCCTAGTTTAAATCCTCCTCACCAGGTTGGTTAGCCTGTTCACAAAAACCCTTTTGCCTCACTTGGCCTGGTGGATCCCATATCTTCCTTAAATAGGGATCCATTGTCATAAAAGCCAAATCCTTCATCACCACAAGCTGTGCAACCAGCTGGTGACCTGCACAATCCACCTACTCCTCTGCTGTTCTTCCTCACCAGCAGGATTGATAAGAAAACCTCCATCTCCAATATGAGGGAGTACCCCACTATTATTACTTGCTAATTCCTCCTGGTGTTACTGCATTGTACAAGCTCAGATGATTTTTTTGGACAGAGCTTTCTGCTTCTCATCTGCTACCAGAGCACTGAACATATTCTATAGATGCAGATCTGCAGACAGAGAAGGAAAGTTCTTTTATGAGAAATCATAAGTTTCCAGCCTTCGTCACCACAGAACAAGCAGAGACTCAGGCTGCCCTTTTCTTAGCACAGCTAGGGGTTCAGGCTCATGCCTGGGTCCTACAGAAGATTGCTTTTTGCAATCTCTGATGCCATGCACTCTGCTGACCTCCTCCTGCATCTCCTTTACTTGGCAACACAAATCCTCAACCAAGCACACATCTCCCTGCAGCCAAGTGCAAAATTTTCCCCTGCCTCAGTCTCAGCAAGAGACACCAGGCTCTACTTTCAGCTCAAAACCTGAAGAGCTGCACCCTCCCTTGGGAGCTCCATCTGAGTTGAGGCCACTGATGTTTTGGGGTAGTTGCTGCAGATGGTGCATGCTAGTGTGCCCTGTGCCAATATACAAGAACTGTTTGCTGAAATTTTAAAAACTTAAAGTCTCTGTACAGCAGGAAATCTGACTAGAATCATGCAAGAGCTTCATGGAATAAAAACCTGAATTTTAGTAAGCACAGTTTCATATATAATCAGAAAGAACTGATTTTCAATTCTGAATGAATTCTGAATTCAATTCTGAATTAACAGACAGAATGAAGAGGTATCAAAAATTAAGTTCCTCCCCACTTTGAAAGAATGAGCTACACACTAACTGCAAGTAGAGCCAACAAAGTACTGAATGGCTAAGTCTATGGATCGACTAGGAACAATTCTAACAATCAGTTTTAAATGCAAAGAGTCCAGGTAAGGAAAAAGGTTACACACCCAAGAAACTCAAACATATTTCACCTTACAATTACCATTTTAAGCAGTTGCTTTCTGCCATTCTGAATTCCAGTCTTAATTCAAAACCAAATTAATCTAAATAAACATAACTGCAAACACAAGGCCAAATACATCCACCTCAGTAAAAGAGGCTGAATTTAGCAGAGATACTCTGCTAGGTGCCAAATGAACGTCTTAACCAATAAGACATGCAAAAGCCAACCAAAATCAGAACTGAAGATTTACATTAAGCTTTTTCAAGTCCATTCACTTTACAGCACAGGCTTACGTGAAATGCCATCATATACAATGCTTACATATTATGAAGGTGCTCAACCATCTTCACAGCTTCAAAGAGACGAGCGTTAAAGACATTAAGAATTTTACCAAGGAAGAACAGCAAGATGGATAGTACTACTCAAAACAACAGTGGGGAGGGAACAGGGAACAGATGATTTAGAAAATCACAAGCTGAATTAGGCAAGGAAAAAATACAATCCATAGCAAGCAGTCTCTGTAAGGTTTCTGAGCTAGTACAAGATAGACTTTGCTTGTATTATGGGAAAAAGGTAAGTCTATGGCATGCTGAGAGCTGCAGAGGTGCATTTGCTTAAGATATCACATTTCCGATGTTTTAACTCCAGGACAATCTACGTACACAAGGATGTTGGATTTTATGAGTAAATGTCTTACTGTACAGCTCTCTTCCAGGACACTAGATAAAAGCAAAAAGTCAGACTAAACAAAATTCTGCTTCTGACTAAATAAAATTATGCTTTTAAAAGTGTATCTATTCTTCTTAAAACTAAAAAGAAATTAAACAGTTGAACAGAATCTGGTTTGACATTCCTAAAAAAATAAATCAAGATTAAAGTAAGAATGGGATCTCCTTAGAAACATGTCAAAAAGGAACACTTTCATACAAACAATTCACAAATTTTAACTTTCACAGGACTACTAAAATGGTTAATGTCCACAAATACACGTCCACATTTCAAGTGACTAACAGTTTTAATACGAAGTGGGCAACCAAGGTAACTTAGCAAAGCTCTACGCCTGAAAAAACAAGTTCATCTTGGAACAACTTAAATTTTCATAAGCTGATCTTCTAATAAGTCTCTACCTCTTTCAAGAAAAACTGGTCAGTTGATGTACATCTCACATTCTGGTCACAAGACAAAACTTCAATATAAACAACTAACTGCACTCTTGCTTGTCTTTGGAATTTATATTAAAAAACCAAAACCCATGCAGATCCCTGAAGTAAGCGCCTAAACAGTTGTGATCTTTCTGTCATGCTATTCCTAATGTGTCAGGGAAGATACATAAACCACATCTCCTAAATGGAGAGTCATATGGCAAACAACATGAAATCATTCTCCCTGTGGTCTGTCAACTCTGCGATATTGCAGATTTTCCAAAAAAAGCTCAAGATTACAGACCTCACAGCATATTGTTGATTTAGACAGATTACAGCAGCCATAGTCCTTACAATCATCTATCTATTAGACAAAAGCATTATTTCACATGATCTAACTTTGGTTTGGCAATACTCTAAAACCTATCATTTTCTGTAATATGAAGCCAAAAAATACTCTTAAAAATTAAGCAAATGGGAGCATAAAAACGGGGTAGTATCTGACAACATCTACAGTTTGGACCGAGTTTACTTCTACAGGAGTTAGGATACAGTTTACTTCCACTAACATTTCTTACTAGCACTGTAGTACAACATACCTATTTGTGGATCTGTTACAATCTATAAAAGGGACTTTGTATGAACTCCTCGGAATAGCAACTGAGGAAATTAACTTGTCCACATTAATTTAACAATTTTATAGCAACATGGGGCTTCTCAAACCCAGTCCAGCTAGTCACTACAGAGAGGCTATCACCCTCTGAAGTTTCACCTTGTGCCAAACAATTCTTTTACTCTGGGCTGCAAGATACTACTACTGGTAGCTGCCTATACAGAAGTGAAGCTTTCTACAGACACAATTAAAATACAAATAATTGGATTTTTGTGCATAAAAAAAAAGCAAGAGAGCTATAATAATACTTAGTACCAAAAATTTACCATCTGCCTTCATACCTCAACAGTCCAGTATAGCCCTGTGAAGGTTATCATTATTGTGCAGAACACTTAGTTAAGCTTTGCTTCCCAAATTGAGAGAAATTAAGAAAGAGAGGTTAAAAAAAAGCAAAAAAATTACAATCCTCAGTCTCACCTAGGCCTCCGGGGCCAGCCAACAGAAACTCTTGTCTGCCTATCCTTTTCACAATTGGCCGTTTCTCATCACTGCAATAAGGAAATAGATCCTGGGAGACGCCAGTATTATAATTCAAAATTATATACTGTGTAGTAAGTGCAAGACATAAGTAATAACCATCTACAGCCACAGCACAGGGTTGCTCTGGAGTAAACACTTCCTTCACTATCTGGACTCTGTCTTCAAACACCATGAACAGTTGAATGGTCCGCCGCTTGACCGAGATAATGCAGACTTCCACACAGAAAGGATCCCCACTCACAGGGTTTTCATTTAGTGTGAATGTCACAGCTCCTTTGATTCTAGCACCAGTGGGGACAGGTTCCAAGTTCATCATGTTTACTAGTGTTATTGTGTTGTCGCAAAGCACAAGAAGCCTGGTGAGGGCAGAGGCAGCTTTCAACTCACTCACAGGCTTCTTCAAGCCCAGGTATTTATGCAGTTGCTTGGTGGCAGCAAAAGTTATTTTTCCAGCTGGTGAGATCTTTTCATCCAACAGAAAGTGATAGATAAAGCAGTCATTGGTTCCAATATAGAGGTTCTTTCCACAACACTCAATGCATTCGATGTTGATGTAATTTTTGTCTCCCATTAACATCTCCCGCTCAACAGCAGAAACAAGTTTGAAAGCTTTAACACTCATTGTGTCTTCTGGGTGATCTGATTAAAGAGAAAAAAAACACTATTTACCTCTACACATGTAATCAAATATCAATGGTAGCAATTTAACATTCGCCAATACAAAAACCTCATTGTTGCCGTTTTTAATAGTCTATTTCCAACCTGACTAGACAAGCCAGAATGAGCACATTAATAAGCACAGAACTGAATCGAATTGTATGCTTCCACTTCAAGTCTATTCCAAAGCAGATTCACAACAGCACTCAGCTATTTTGAAGTGAAGCATTCTCCATAAGTAACCAGCATATTACTGGCTCTCTCCGATACTTTGGCACTACCAGTGGTTCCTGTCAGTACTCAGTGATTTACAAACCTGTCACGTACAGGTTTATCTCACCTGCACATGAAAAGATATAAGCTTTAGCTCTCAGATTTCTAGAGAAACCACAAGGTATTCATATTCCATTTTAACACATACTTTACATTCCTTACTCTCCAACAACCAGAAATATATAACTTTCAAGCCACTTAATTTATACAAGGTATCATTCAACTCATTATAAAAGTTGTTTTGGCTTTTTTACTGTTTGGAGTATGTCTGTTTTATTCAGTGCTACTTACATTCTCTGTTATCAGACTACATGCACCAGCAATTATAAAGCCCAATAACACAACAAATTTGGAAGCATGGTCCACAAATCGTTCATTAAGCTCAAGATGCAATATTATGGAAATTAAGAGTTTCTGTTATCCATTATCAAAGACAGAGTTTTGGAATGGTTGCAAGTGCTAAGCAGCACTTCTAATATTAACATTCTTCAATCAAGTACTGTCAAGAGACATATGCAATTTATGAAGCAATAGTTTGCTTTAAAAACAGTCCATGTAATTTTACTGTACTCCAGACTTGGGTTATTTTTATAAGAAACCAGCTGTACTCAACACTCCAAAGAAGAGCAGACGAGAAATTGCAGACCTTGTATAATCACCTTTTAATTTGTCATGACCAGTCTGTAACAACCACTTAGCCAACACAGGGGAATACACAACACTGAGCATCTCCAAGGGATTTAAGAAATAACATATACAGCTACTTCTAGTCCACAGGTTCAATGGAGATACAAATATGACACAAAATTTCTGTGGACCAACATCAACAAGATGCTCTTGTAAACAATCCTGAAATTAAACACAGTCAAAACAAATTTAGTTTCAAATTATTACATCTAAAAAAACCCCTTTGCTTTTGCATGAGAACACTGAAAACCACAGCAAACATTTCCAAAACTGAATGAGAAACAATAAGCTACACAACTTACAAGTAACCACTAAATAAAATTAGATCAAACTAGCCAGAAGAAAGTCATGTTACAAAGAGACAGTAGCAATGTTTGTTGCCAATATCTTCCTAGTTTTTTTTCAGAAATTAAAAAGATTTCAATTTGGGCTTCCAAGACACTTTCAAACTGCATCCTCACCTGGGGTGTAAATTAGCTTTCTGGCCTTCAACAGAAAAACCCAAACCCAGGAAGTACTAGAGAAATACCTTAATGTAAAACGATAATGCAAGTCTCTGCCAACACAGCCATATTAACCTCCAATGTTATGAAAAGAAACACAGCACTCTAAGTTAAAGAGGGTTGCCCAAAGGCTGACTGCTAAAAAACCCCCAACCATTTTTAAGAGCTTGTGTGTTGTAGCCTGAAGTGATAAACTATCTTCTGGAGTGGTTAGGAAGCTTTTGTACCTGAAGCTATCAACAACTTAATGTTCCTGGAACCCAAGGTAAAAATGTTCATGCATGCCATTGGGAGAACTACAGAATTTTGCTCTTGACCAAGATGTATTAAAAGCCTCCAAAAAACTTAATAAACAAAAGCATTTGAAAGGTAAAACTGTGAAAGAATGTGAAATAGATACACAATCCCTGAGCAGAAAATTGAAAATATAACATAGTACTACATAAATCTGGTAGCAAAGAAATTAAAACATTAATGCTAGAAAGAATCTCTGAAAAAAGCTTTTAAGAACAATCAATATCAACACACAAAATCTACAAGACTTTTGTTACATTTCATTTTGTTGTAACTTAGAAGAACTTAGAGGCCTATGTGTACTGCAAAGAAACAGGTTCTGCAGAACATGCTGTTCCTTTAAAGTGCAAGAGGCCACCCCAGAGCCATGAACGAAAGCCAGCATGCCACTTATTAAATGTGCAAAACTCTAGAAAACAAGATAATGGAGATGCCTACTGTCAAAAAATCATCAACAGGCAAGGAAATTACTATCAGTCTACTCAATTTTATTTTCTCAAGTGCACTAATAACCCCACACGCACTCATTTCCGGTAAGAAGTGGAAAGCAGGTCTCCCCACTTTTGTTAAGTAATACCTTACTTCGCATTTACATTTTGTTTGCTGCTGCTGCCCTGCAAACCAGCACCTTACCGACCGACCTCCCCTCCGCCCACTCCTACACCCCGTGCCATTAACTGCGTGCAAGCCCTCGTTAACCCTCCGATACGACTCCACAGGCCCGAGGTGCTGCCCGTACCGGGCCCCGCGAGGACGGGGACGCGCCTCACCGGCCGCGCCCG